CGAAGCAATAAAAACACATTTTAATTCTCAAATGAATTGGACTTTTTTTATTAAAATTAAAATTCATGAATAATTCATGAATAATTTCCTTCCATATATGTAAATAATTATTTGCGTAACAAATCTAATCATTAATTAAATAAAAATAAAAAAATAAAAATAACGTTAAATTCTATGTTGGTGTTATGAAAAAATATGAGGACGGCCATCCCATTTACAGTGTTTTGCAAAAAAAATTGCGCATAAATAAAACCGTAAATCTCAACAAGCACACATTGAAAATAAATAAAAATAGATTCATTTGAAAGTTCATTATTTACTTTATTAAATATAAAAAAATTAATACAAAATTCTATCCCCATTTTTTTGTAATATTAATTCACAACGATTTTTCATAGATTTAATTAAATTTTGTACTGTTTCATGGGGGATTTTATCCCATTCTTCAACCATAAATTGTTTCAACTCACTAGTATTTATAGGCATTCTTTCTACATTATTTTTTATGATCTGCCACATATTTTCAATGGGATTCAGATCGGGACTGTTTGATGGCCAGTCTAAAACATGAATATTATTTTGGGATAAAAAGTCCTTTGCAACACGCGAAGTGTGCTTAGGATCATTATCTTGTTGCAAACACCAGTTTCTACCATACAGTTTTTGAGCAACAGGAAGAAGCTGGGTTTGCAAAATACTCACATAAAAAGGACCATCCATTATTTCTGTAAAGCAAAACAAAGGGGTTTTGCCATTCAATGAAATTCCATTACCTTTTGTCGTGATTTTGGTAATCTTCTAACTGGTCTTTCTCCATTTTTATACCATCTTGAAATTTTATTACGAAATAAATCAAAAGCAGTCTCATCTGTAAAGATGATATAGTCCCAGTTATCGTTCAAATGAGCTGTGCCCATGTTTTTCGAGCATCTATATGACTACTGGTAAGCATTGGGGTGGAAAGTGGTATGGCACTATTATACCCCTTTTTTGCCATGTGTCGCCCAATATTAGTATGTGGAATAGATACATTATGTGTATCTTGAATTCGAAATGCAAGTTGACGTGTTGTAATTGCAGAATTATGGTGAACAAGTTGCCCAATTGAACGCGAAACAGTATGTGTAACCTTAGAACGACGGCCATTACCACCAATATGTTTAACAGTGCCTTTTTCTTTGAGTTTTTTGATGTTGTATTGAATAGTACGAATGGAAATATTTTTTTTTGTATATATTTCTTTGGCAGTACGAATTCCATTTAGCCAGTAATGTAGAATTGTTTGACGTTGCGCCTCAAGTTCTTTATTGGGCATGTTTGCAAGGTTTTAAACGAAATAAACAATGAAGTAGGATAATTTCTTTTTTGTAAAGAGATTAAAAAAGGAAAAAATAAACATTTATAAAAATGGCAATCATGTAAACAAATCTATTTTTTTTTATTTATTATAAAAATCAATTTTACAATTCACGCGCAATTTTTTTCGCAACACACTGTATATATGTATATATTTTACTATTTTTTATTTATTTTTATCCTATATATTAAATTTTTATTGTTGTTATTAAATTAAATAAAATTTTTAGAAAAAAAAATCATGAACTATTAATAGATTTCACTTCCAATACAACATTTATCAACATACAAATTACATAAATTGAAATCAGATAATATCCCAAAGCTTTTGTCATTCGATAACCATTATATGGCAAATAAATCATAACCGAACATAACCCTAATAATAATCCAATTGATGATATAAATAACGTTGCTTCAACTTCAATCTTACTTGGACTGCCTGTTTTAATTGCTACATAAGTAGCACTAATACCAACTCCAAGTAATATATCTATTAAATCAAATAAAAAATATAAATATTAATATACAAAATAATTATCAGTTGCTTCTTCTGCTAATTAACGACAATAAAGAATAAACTTACTCAACATAGGACCACCAAAACATGCGCTCATGGCCATCATAGGAAATCCCATTTTTGCAATAGTAATATTTGCAACAAAATCTCCCAAACTATTTCCCTATTAAAAATTAAAACATTAGTAAATAAATATATGTTGTATGTGTTTATAATAATAATAAGAAATTACCATTGCAAAAATTGTTAACCCAAGTATAGCATCAGATAATCCCATTATTTGGCCTAAAGCCTAAATAAACAAAATTTATTTATCACCGTTATAATA